CAGTCTGCTGGTCTTCATATTGTTTCAGCATACGGGCTTGTTCATTAATAGCAGCTGCATCAGGTGCAGGTGAAGGTGCAGCTAGGGGAGGAGCTGGCGAAGCTGTAGTAGTTTTGGGTCTCGCAGGGAGGTCGGGAGCACTTCCAGTATCCAACAGGTTCGGAGGTTCCTATCCAGGATATTAATTTGAGATGTGGTAGGAGCCTTCATAGCGTACCTGACCCAATTTAGGAACATTGATCAAGCCAGTCAAATATTTGAGATTTGAACACTCATAGTAGAATTTTCTTAAATTATGGTGTTGCGAGTTGAACCGCTGGCGGAGGGGTTCCAGTGCGTCATGGTCATTCGTTCCTGAAAAGTCGATGAGCTTTAACGACACGTAGCTGTGATGTCCTTACTTCGGTGCATGGCGCGAAGCATGCTTGTAATGAATCGATAGATACCCCAACTTTCCTTAACTAGGGGCACTAGTGCAGAGATACGACATTCATTATTGGCAGAATGCCTGAAGTGAGAAAACACCATCCGCTGGAATGATTCGATTTGGTCTTGAAGGCCCATGAGGTCTGAGATAGTTTCATAACTATTGAAGTTGTCGACATGAATGAACATCTAGTAATGGGTGAATACTCACCCCTCATTGGGGTCATCGATACCTTTCAATGAAATGTATTCCTCGTATTCAAACAATCCATTAAATTCTGGTCTCAGGCGGTGGAAACGCAATTTAGCCAGAATAAACTGGACGTAGGTTCTGATTAACGGTCCATAACCTATGGACAGGGTCACATGACATACGTGACTCAAAAACAGAAGCCTTACCACGTTGACCCTCTGCGGCAACAGTCCTGGCGCAAGTCTCCAACCATCCCGCTTGGCCGTGAGCTTCTTTGATCGTCTGAGGGAGAACCGATAGTTAGATGCCGGCGGCCATCGGCGAGTAAGTCACACACCACAGGGTGGCCTTCTTGTAATACTTTATGTACAGTAATGAGAGCCTTGAAAGTTTGGACTTCGTCGGACAAGATAGGTTGCACCCGTAAACCACTCCAGAAAGATATCGAGCTATGGTAATCCCAAGTGTAGACGATACATTCTTTGATGAAATTAGCGAGACAGCTGATTGAGAATAGAAGATTAGACACGTACTTCGGACATGTTTCTGCTTCGGAGCTGACTCCTCTGGGCTCGTTGCTTTCTTGATGTTAATCACAAGCTCGTTCTCTGCCTTGTCCTTGTCGACCGGCCTGGTAGGGTAGTGAACCTCGTCACCATCAATATCGAAGTTCGGACGTCGCCTGGTAGACCTGCATGATCTAGTTTGTGAGTCATTTTCAAACCGTCGATCGCTTGGTTCAACATACATATATGCTCAATGCCAATAATTAGATTGAAGAGAAAGAGTGAATGAACTTTCGCGAGAGAAAGCCCCGCAGCCATGTCAGCAGCCGTGGGAATTGAAGCCTACTTACCAGTACTACTAGTTGTAGACCGTAACCTGCTTTTCTCACAAACATGCTGCAGCGGTTGGCTGCGTCAAGATCAAAATGGCGGGATACGATTATTAATACGCGTCGATGGCTTCACAGCGAGGACTCACAAGCAACACAATCTTATACCGCACGCAAGAATTCTTGGTTTAGCCCAACGATCTTAGTGCTAGGATTTATCCCAGTTTTCACCTTCGCCTTGGGAACTTGGCAGATGCAACGTTTACAATGGAAAGTGGCCTTGATAGATGAGCTTCAGGAGAAACTCCATCGAGAGCCTATCTTTCTTCCCAAGCGAGTAAAGTGCGTACATTCCGGCATCATTACTGAGTCGAGGCTGAGTAGATCGTCGAGTAAGTCTCTCTGTAGTGCCAGAATTCGTATATCGTCGAGTGTTGCTCCGCGGTAGATGGGATCACAAACACTCGATGCTTCTCGGTCCTCGCGTCCGGGAGGGCTCGCATGGATATCATGTCGTCACACCATTGATCAGGTCTGACGGATCAACCGTCCTCGTTGACCGCGGTTTCGTTGCAAAAGAGTTTGCTGATGCCGATACCTTCGAACGAGGGGAAACAGGCGAGGTCGTAATATTGGGGATGTTAAGGACATCGCATACCCGAAACAGTTTCACCCCAGACAACAAACCAACTGAAGGAACGTGGTATTGGGCTGACGTCGATGCTATGGCAGACTACGCTGGTGGCGAAGCAAAAAATGTACAGCCAGTATTTGTAGAACAAATCTATGGTACGCATCCGAATGCCCACATTGTGCCGGCTACCAATACTAGATTTCAGAAGGCTCCTCTCAGGACGCCACGTTGCGCCTGAATAAAGGTATACCACTTGGACGCGCAGCTTCTGTTGACGTTCGCAACGCCCACCTTTCATATGTTATCACCTGGTTAGTACCGGTTCGAAATCATGTATGCCATTGGTATACTGATGAACCAGAATAGGTTTTCCCTTTCTGCCTTCACTACAGCTATGTTAGTGCGACTTGTATTGAAGCGAAGAGCTCAAAATCACCACCGCCCACTACCAAGGCAATGAACATTGTACAGACGAAGACTGCAGGGTGATTCCCGCGAGTTATAGTTTATCGTTCTCTCGCCATGTTTCTCCACCAGTGACTCATCACACCTCGTACAGTGTGAAATAATCAGAATAGAGTTGCTTATTATGCATTGAAGTAAGCATTGTTGGGGCCGCGGCGGATGCCCGCTGTGGATACCTCACAAGCGTGCTACCATCTTCTCAGGTCTGTGTCGATTTCCATGACATTGTGCCACTATTGCTTGTATTTTCCGCCACCCAATAATGAATTACCACTCTTCAGAACTGTGAATGGATGCCACTCGCGTATGCGCTCGCCAGTACTGCTCACCTATTTAACTTCCTCGTTTCTCTGTAATTCAGCATCTCATCCCCAAGTCAACATCTATCTTTCTGTTTCCTATAACCACTGCGATGTCTTTTAACAGTGCTGCTCTGTATAGCTGCCCTCAAACCATCCCTTCATCATACCAGGCTCACTACGAGCCACCTCCCCCGCGCCGGCCGCGTGCTTCCACGATGACACAGGATGCAAACACTCAATGGCATCGTAATGCACAGCGAATGCCAGGCTTGCCCGCGACAGACAACTTCCAGCCACCTATCCTGAGCAGAGAGTATTTATCCATGTGGGATGATGTCGAGGTTCAGAACGATTGGGCTAATGCAGCCAGAGAGCAAGGTATGTCAATGTATTTATTTACTCATGATGTGTTGGTACAATCTCAGGGCGCAATCCAGAGTACGCGTGTCAGCTGCAAGTCGAGCGTTCCCTTAATTACAAGCAACACGCTCGTAAGAACAAGAAACACAAACACGTCTCTGTGGACACTGAACGAGGGCGCTGCGCATCTATTGACAGGAAACGTACACGGCATGAATCTGTTGATCGCGAACAAAGAGGTCGCGCGTCCATTGACAGAAAGCGTGCACGGCATGAATCTGTCGATCATGAGCGAAGGGGTCGTATGTCTCTTGATCGACCGCAAGAACGCCCTGGCGTTATTGATCACGAACAAGAGCGTCGTGCATCTGTTGACCGCGAGCGACAGCATCGTGAATCTGGCGATGGCGAACAAGGACGTCGTGCTTCTATCGACATGAGATACGATCGCGAGCGCAACATGTCGGTTGGACGTCATGGCCATTATGGATCTGTTTCTAGGACGTTCCCTCGTCCACCAGTTTGTGCTGTGTCCTTCAGGCCTCCTATCACAGGCCCCCAATCCCGTCCTTGCATATCTAAATATGTGATGGTTCCCCGTCCACCAGTGTGTGCTGTCTCCTCGAAGCATCCTACCACACCCCAATTCCGCCATCGCAAATCTGAATCTGCGACGGTTCCTCGTCCACCAGTGTGTGCCGTCCCCTTTGAACATCGTACCACGGGTCAAAAATCTCACCACCACGATTCTGATTCTGTAGCGTTTCCTCGTCCATCAGTCTGCGCTGTCTCCTCCAAGCCTCCTACCACAGGTCCCCAATCTCGACATCCTCGTCGATCTTCGTTCAACTACGCAACTGGTCACGATCATTCTGATGGACGCCAGCATCCCGTTTATGTTTTGCCTCCAACTGGTGCGTTTCATAGCTTGGTGCATGGATCATTCTAACTCTTTCATCTGTGACGTCTAGCTCCAGCTCCACAGATACATCTACCTCCACAACAACGTATCCGCACTGTCTCAATAGAGGCGGTTCGTCGCCTTCCTTTTCGCAGCCCCGAGGTTTCTTCGTTTGAAAAGTCCAAGCCGTCTGGGCTAGCCCGCTTCAATCCCTTCAACAGGCTGTGCTCGGCGACTTCGCAAAAGATTCGCCGCAAAACTGCTGTCAGAGCATGATATCCCTGGTATATCCCTATATTCATTGGTTTAGACTCATAGACAGTCTTCCTTAATATGGTATGGTATATCCATTAGAACATAGAAATACATATACCCTAGATATCTTGTTAGAGTGTACCTGTGTGTATCTTTCGACTGTGACTCCCCTCGTTATAATCACACGGAAATGTCTTGGCATGTGTGTATATCACTTATTTCCATATAAAGCAGTTCGCCGTAATGGCATCCAACCGCTTCTGCACTTGAATTCTTTCATAGCGCCGCCCTCAGCTGCTTGCTTGAAGTGAATGGCAGAACCAGACCCAGGTCCTGCTCTATCGACACACTTCAGTCAATCAACTCCCAAGCACGATACCTCACCCCTTCCTCGTATTCGCTTTCCAGACCAGTTCCTTGCCGCATCACCTCATGGAGAGTCGTCACGTTCATCCATAGGGTCTCCTGCCAGTGGACCTCCTATTTCACCAATGAAAGACCAGAAAGATCTAGGCGACGGAAACGGTCGTTTTCTTTCCAAAGATGTCACTCCTGGAATCTTCCCTGAGATATCTCCTTCGAAGAGATTTTCATCCCGCAGCGCTGAGTTACGACGTAGGTCTAAGAAAATGAGTCAGAGCAGAGGCCTGTCTGCTCTTAAGGACCCTTTTGTCGCTGAGTTTGAACCTTCAGCTTTCTCGGATGAATATGACTTGTGTGAGTCCCATGCTTCTGCTTGTATCTTAACACTGACGGTCCGCATTCACTGTAATGTAGCTCATGAGGGCAAGTACAATGATTGTTAGTTTTGTGACTACTCATAAACATATTCATCCAGACCCCAAGATTATCCAGGATGTTCAGCGAGCCCTAGAACTGCAATCTCGCAGACGAGATCGCAAGTCATTCACCCCATCCCAGCCAACTGTCATAGAAGATCAAACCCTTATCGAGCTGCGGCAGGACACATCTTTCCAACACTCTCCTCCAGCTTCTCCACCGACTTTCACTCATCCCTCACGTCCTCCTCTGGACATTGACTTCAGCCCGTCTGTCCAGGCAGTTCCCCTTCACCCTGTCCCCCTTTCTTCGAATGCAGGTGCTACTTTGGATTGGACTGGGTCCCAGTCTGAAGAAGAAAGACTTGAAAAACGTTGGACATTGGGAAAACGTAAAGGCAAAGACAGACCCTCGTTTTCAAACAAAGCCGTATTGGAAAAGCAAGACACTCTTTTTGCGGGTGAGCTCTTGGAGACGGTTGCCACAGAATCACATGCTTACGTCGCTGCACAGATAGGATGTCTAGAATCAGATCGAAAGCGAAACAGCCCACATTCCGAAAGGCAGCTATTGTTAGCGACCAATTAGGACGGAGGTATAACCTTGTGTATAACTCCATGTCGAACGAGGACCCCATCAACCTCGCGAAAGCCGCGCGGTGGTACGCTGATTCTGATCCGGGCGCACAAGCCTGGTTAGATAGCGCTGAGCCACTCACTTGGCTCAAACACCTATTTAGCAAAAATGGCGGCAAACGATCGAAATGGCATCTGTCGGCTTTGATCGTGGAAGAATATGTTAAATCCAATAAGATAGATTATAGTTTGCCTATCATTCGTGACGATTCTACCTCTGCTCGTAGGGGATCACTCCCTTCAGATGTGTCTCTAATCCTTCCGTCATATCCTTTTCATCCGATCCGATCCTCCCCCTCGCTACATCATTCTTTTGGAGATTCACTCAGAAGAATACGCTCCTCAGATGGCCAAATTTCATTCGAGCCTAGAATTGACTCTACGCGCAGCTCGATAGATGGCGATTACAGGAGCGCTGCTGAAAAGAGTCGAGGATTGCGTCATGTCATCCCAGCCCTCACTGATCCTGCCAATAGTATCGCATCTACCACATCCCCTTACCGTCGTCAGAGCTCTCCAGGCGGACTTTCACCAGCTAGCAGTCGGCACCTTCCGTTTGCTCAACGGATACGGCGTCGGCAGGTGGATAGCGATGAAGGATCTTCCTCAATCATTCACTCGCAATCGGACGACTACAGTGGGTCTTTCGCTGGCGTTACTGGACATCGGCGCAAGAGGCGCGATCGGGGGCAGCCTCATGCGCCTTCATCATATCTACTATCACCCCGTGAATCAGGAACAGAGACCAATACTCCCGGCCAGATGTCGGATGTACACGAGGCAAATTCTGCACCTATGGAGGATCCATTGCCCTCTGAGCCACCTTCGGAACGTGGGATTGAACTGCCACCTAACATGCCTGAATCTGAGGGTTTCGCCACTCCACCGCAAGTTATTACACGTCAGAGACTAATTCACCGGATGTCCCTCCCTGTCCCTGACGTAGCCAAGAAGCCAGAACGAAAGCAGCTCGAGGAAGCCGAGGAGGAAGAATTAGAGCATGAGTATGAGAAGAAGTTGCAGTAAGCGTTTCTTTTCCCTTCGAAGACGTCTACGGCTTAAAGGGCCGATAAGGACGCTAGATGAACTTAAGGCGCAGAACCATCGGGTACGCCAGAAATTGCAAAGGATCGCTGCAGATGTCCGGGAATACGACAACATGCAAGCGAGGATGGCCAATACGCACGGTATTCCTCATCAAGGTCTACCTGTAGAACTTTTAGACGCTTTTAATCAGGATCCTTCATCGGTCACTGGCGGAACTCGGGAACGGAAAGGATGGAGGGCCGTCGAGGACGTACACACTCGCATTCTTCGTCAACAACAAATTTTCAGGATGTACCTTTCTGTTTCGGAGAAACATGTAGTGCCAGATAGCTTGCTCGATGAGCCCATATCATCGCTTATGGATACGTTGGGCAAACTGGGTCATAAGAGGGAGACTCTGGCGCACAAGGAGTTGGAAGTTGCTAGCGCTCTGGCCAAAGTCAAGACTCTGCATACCCAAGTCAAGAACGAGTATAACAATACCCTCTCGCACACCTCCATTGCTTACCCAGAAGTATAGTCACATCATCAATAGTTTTGCTATACCTGCTGACCATCTTCTAGCTCTCCCAAATCATCGCACTAGAAGAAAGCTACAAGGATCAATACCAACATATCTGGGAGTTCGGAATGGATGCTTTGACGTTCATCCTCGACAACGTTGCGCCGGTTTGGAGGAATTATGGGAGGACTATTGGCGAAGATATCACAGATTTCCTCATTATACCCTGGTATCGGAATGAGTTCACGGGAGAGCCGAAGCGGTATGATATCTTGTCGTTTCCTCGCCGCTCCATCCGCCACTGGTTCACACTCTTTTTCCTCTTCTTGTCTACATTCGCCATCGCCTATCTGCAAATGCGCGCAGCCATTCTTTGTACATTCATGTACAGGCATCCCTGGATCGACAATTCAGGTTTTCGATGGTTGATCATGCCGTGCATATGGATCGCTTTCCTCATTCATTGGTTTGCTGTTCTCTTCGAGGTTGGAATCATCATGCTGGAGCTTAGAGTCGTTGCTTGGTGGTTGGGTTGGTCGGTGGGCCTTCTTACCTGAGCCTTTATTCTGTCTATCATTTATCTAGGATCTTGGACCCTGGTCATTTGCATCACTGTAATCACATATCACACACACATATTCGATGTACACGTAAGTTATCTTGCTAATGATATTTAGCTCGGCTTGACATCGGGAATCGGTATATTACTTGTTTGCTCTGTTGCTGAGGCTTTAGGGTACGGAACAAATACCGCGTGAGTCTTTGAAACAATAGTGGACTGATGTCGGGTATTATCTGGAGTGTGTGAGGTGCTGCCTTGCCTTGAGTGTTGTGCGGAGGATTGGTAGGAGTACCGGCTACTGCCTACTTGCGGTATATCATCGATAGCGCAGCCGGCTTCAACACACGGTCGGCAATATCCTAGGCGTCGTGATTGATGTCAGAGAGTGATCCCATGGCAAAAGTAATGAAAACCTACTTCCACCCATAATTAGAGGGACATCTGTTTGACCGCACGCAAAGCAAGCTATCTTGGGCAACGAAGGCGTGGATTTTGGCTGTGTTTGACGCCTTTTCTTTGGTGGAGGTGGAGCTGGCTCTGCGCTTTGTTGCACGAGGCCTGCGTTTTGAGTTGGAGGTGGAGGCGGAGGGTGAGACTGTGTCTGAGACTGAGACCGGGGTTGTGGTTGAGGTTGTGGTTGTGGTTGGGCCTGGGCCTGAGGAGGTTTACGAGGTGCTGCTTTGCGTTTAGGTTTATTGCTGCTCTCTGCGGCTGACCTGAGAAGCTTCGTAGAGAATGTAGGAACTGCAGCCTGTGAATCGTTAGAATCAAGTAAGATCTGTATGATTGCAGCGCACTGACATTTTGAATTTGGGCTAGTAGAGAGCCCTCTGCTATTCTATGTGCCAAGTAAACTCGTCGAGGTTTATTCTTGGTGAATTATATAGATATAAAGGATTCTACTTCACAAGGACTGGATGCTCACAATGGATTCGAGAATCTTGCGGTTTTCTTCTAACTTCTCTTCAGAGCCGATCCAACGTAATACAGAATCCCATATAGGAGCACCCGCCCCGGTGAAAACAAATGTGACCACTTCTTGAGGTTCTGGTGTCTTCGGCTGAACTTGTCCATCGGGTTGAGACTCCAGAACTACTTTGGTCTGCTGTTCAAACGGGACACGCGTAGACAGGGTTATTTCGCCATATGATCCCATTGACCCCGGCACCGGAGTGAAAGTGCCTACAGCAAGACCACGAGGGAAAATCCAACGGTCTGTGGGACACTCACGGAATTCGATTACGATATCAAAATCCTTGGTTTGATACACTGGTTGAATAGGCGACGCTGCACCACTTGCCACAGCTGTTGCTGTGTTCTGCGCCTGTGCGGATTGCATTGAAGAAGCACCCAGGTCCACCCCGGATGAAGATGCGAGTTGCTGTATCGTTACGCCAAGGTTTTTGAGTTGGTCCATGGATGCGTTTCCTGAGGCAGCTAGGTGTAATAAGTTGGCCAGTGTCGGATTGGAGAGGGCTGCTGCATTCACTTGGTTGATAAGTGTCGGTGGGATACTTGGAGAGTTTGGTAGCGGCGAAAGGAGGGGAGTAGAAGACGATCCTTGTGACGCAGAGACAGAACTAGTAGCACCTGGTTGCTGCGTATAGGTAGGTATATGTGCTGTGTGCACAAGGATGGGGTGATAGTGTACTTCAAATATGGTCGTTTCTGTGAATATGTGCGGACCAATCTCCAAAGTGCATCTGCCGCGATTATACATCGTATGCGGTGGAGGAATAGCATCGGCGGGCTTTCCTCCCCTTGAGCGGCTGGAAAATTTTGGGAACGTTGAGCGTAGCCATTTTTCTCTTGCTGTATACAGTATTCAGTCTTTTGTGGGTTAAACATGAATGTTATTATACATACATTGCTTGAGGGACTGTAGGATGACGAAACTACAGGAATATTAGACGATGATACATGAGAGAGGAGGAAAAGGTGACCTGTCTGCTGCGCTTTTAATTTTTGAGGGATCTTGCTCGGCGTTGTTTATCTCCCAGTCAGGCTCCTGAGCTACGGGCAAATGGATGTTTTGGCTGCGATTCATGAGGCGTTATTTGCGTATGTTTGGCAAAACCTAGTAAACCAGTGCGAACTTGAAGCAACTGATAGCATCTATTATAGGATCTAGACATTTATGAGCACGCGAGTTCGTAAGTACTTTCTTTCTTAATGCTCATCGGAAAGTTCATTGTGTTTTGTAATAGAAAAGGGAAGTACGGTCTTTAGACCGGTCGCCAAAGCGCGACCTCGCGCCACAGAGGCCAACGCACCGAAATCACTGGCTGCAATCCCCGAAGCTCGTCCTCCAATTCAGCCTTCGTCACAACAACATGCTCCAACTGCAATAGCTGTGACGCCCCCTTCTCCCCCCGTTGCATCTCCTTCCATGCCGCCGCCGATCGTGGTCCCTGTCAGACTCCCTATCTCTACTGTGCATGCTCCTCAGAGACCTGTCATGCCTATAAACACTCCAATACCTCTTCCCACTACTCGAGATCATCAAGTGCAGATCCCTCAGCCTCTGCCGGCACTCCCTCTCATCCAAGAACATCCTGTTTCAGTTATCCCCACGCCCGCGAAACCAGACTCAGAAGTATCCAGCTCCCGAAAACGTAGGTCCCAATCTCGCGCATCTTCTGAAGGTTCGAAAAAATCTCGCAAAACTCGTGCTCCTTCTTTGCCCTACGATGCCAGCGTAGACCCTGGAGAAGATTTAGATCCGACTGTCGTGACTATGGCTACATTATGTGAAGATACCGGATGGGGTCGTGTCAGTAGTAAAGCAGCCCAAATTGTCGATAACCACTTGGTCTGGAAAAAAAACAATCGGGAAAAGAGAGCGCGAATGAGAGTTTCTATGGAGGCGAGAAAGTATGGTCGAAATGAAGATGATACTACACAACCCGACCACAGCAGCTCTGCGCCTGATCAAAGCGCCGTCACAAATGAGGCTGCAACATCCTCAGAACACAGTGCTGTACCTATAAGCGGCGACCAGCATGCGGTCGGAGATACGAGTGGTAGCGGATTTGACTATTCGCAAGATGTCGCCACCAGTCGATATAACGTTCAAATCCGTATCGGGCCCAATGGAGAAACCATTATCGATGAAGAGTCTCTGTTTGTTGACAGAAATGTTGGAGATGAGACTGCAGACTACACTCATGTCGAGGAGTCGGACGTCTCCAAATTTGTGAATTCTGGGACGTATGGGAGGCGTTTCCGGGGTTCTCGCTGGAGTGCTGAAGAGACGGAGTTATTCTACGAGGTAAGTAATAAGGTACATGCAGAAGACATTTACTTATGTACACGTGCAGGCGTTATCGCAATTTGGCGAGAACTACGAATTAATATCTTATGTGCTACCTGGTCGTGACCGCAAGTCATGTAAGAACAAGTTCAAAGCTGAGGACAAGAAGAACTCGGCAAGAATCAATTACTGTTTGAACAACCGTCAGCCATATGGTAAGTCTCACTGACTCACTGCTTAGGAAATGAGCTTACGTTGTGGCCAGATATGCAAACCTTGTCGCGAATGACGGGAAAGGACTTTAGTGGCCCGACTCCAGAGATACGACCTCCGCCTGTGCTTACACTTGCTGAGCCTGAGGGGGATGAAGGAACAATCCCAAAGAAACAGCCGGGTCAAACACCCGCTCTGGAAGATAACGGGGAGGAGGTTCTTGGTGATATATCTAGTTACTTATAATTTTGTAAAGGTAAAGACTTGAAGCTTGAAGATAATTACACTATTGTTCTACTTACCCTCGTTTGTTCAATGAACGACTGGCATCGTAAGCCGGGGTAGCTCAGCTGGGAGAGCAACAGACTGAAGTTCTGGAGGTCCCGTGTTCAATCCACGGTCCTGGCATATTTTTTGTCAGAATTACAGAGTATTGGTAAACAACACCAGTCAACAAAGCTCACTAACGCGTCTTGCTCACCGACGTCGACGTCCAATTCATCGTTTCCCCTCTCTTGCTCGTTATCTTGGCTCCGTGATTTTAAAAACCGCAAAAGCCGATTCAGCATTGGCCACAATTATTAGGACTTGTGTCCTAAACTCAACAGTTCTGATTGCATTCTCGCTTCTCTGTCGGAATCATGAGCCAAGGTAATCTTCACTTTTCCTTTACATCCTTGTCCTGACTGATATGCACTCTCTAGAAATTGAACCCCCTCAGCCGTCGATTAATTATGACGACCCAAACTATGCAATGGAGGAAGATGAAGAAGAGTTTGAAGAGATAACGCAGGAAGATTGCTGGACTGTCATTTCTAGCTTTTTCGAGCAAAAAGGTCTCGTCAGACAGCAATTGGACTCCTTCGATGAGTTTGTACAAAATACCATGCAAGAGCTCGTGGACGAGAATGCGGATCTTATCCTCGACCAAGCCGATCAACACACTGGCCATGACACAGATATGACGCGACGCTACGAGATCAAATTTGGCCAGATTTACCTGTCGCGACCAACTGTCACAGAAGCAGATGGATCCGTGGTTCCAGTGTTTCCTCAGGAGGCCCGCTTGCGGAACTTGACGTATTCGGCCCCATTGTACATTGAGATGAAGAAGAGAGTTCTTCTCGGGCGCGAAGACCCTGATGGGGCACCTGGAGAGATTTTGTGGGAAGCAGAGCGACATGAGGCACCCGAGGATACCACGAAGGTCTGGATTGGCAAGGTGTGTCACATGCCAATGAAGAGAGGGTGCTTTCTTACCTTAGCCTGATGTACAGGTCCCTATCATGCTTCGCTCGACATTCTGCATACTTCGAGACTTGCAAGATCAGGACCTGTACGACTTGAACGAGTGTCCATATGATTCAGGAGGTTACTTCATTATCAATGGCTCAGAGAAGGTCCTCATCGCCCAGGAGCGTATGGCGACTAACCACGTCTATGTTTTTGCCAAGGCACAGCCATCACCGATAAATTTCTTGGCCGAGATTCGGAGTGCTGTAGAGAAAGGTGGTAAGACTATTAGTCAATTCCAGGTCAAAATGTTCCACAGAAATCAGGAGCGATCGGTAAGCACAGCTCAATACCATCTCGGGTTCCCCATTCATCTTATTTCCACAGCTGGGTAATGTCATGAAAGCAACCATCCCTTACATCCGTGTCGACATTCCCATTTGGGTGGTTTTCCGTGCTCTCGGCGTCATCTCTGATCGAGATATCCTGGAGCACATTTGCTATGACATGCAGGACGCCCAGATGCTTGAAATGCTCAAGCCATGTATTGATGACGGTTTTGTCATACAAGACCGCGAGGTTGCTCTAGATTTTATTGGAAATCGTGGAACCACGACTGGTTTGTCGCGGGAGCGGCGTATTCGCTACGCTCAGGAGATATTACAGAAGGAGATGCTTCCTCACGTCTCCATGTCGGAGGGCTCAGAGTCAAAGAAGGCCTACTTCTTCGGATACATGATCCACAGACTACTCCTCGCCGCTCTTGAACGGAGAGAGCTGGATGACCGTGATCATTTCGGGAAGAAACGCCTTGATTTGGCTGGTCCTCTACTCGCTGGTCTATTCCGCATGCTGTTCAAGAAGTTGACGAGGGATGTTTACCGTTATCTCCAGAAGGTACGTCACCCTGTCTAGTTGCACGTTTCTCTATGCTTATTATTTTATAGTGTGTGGAGACGCACAAGGAGTTCAATCTTTCGCTAGCCGTTAAGCATCAAACAATCACCAATGGTCTCAAATATTCACTCGCTACCGGCAATTGGGGCGACCAAAAGAAGGCTATGTCTTCGAAGGCCGGTGTGTCTCAGGTGTTGAACAGGTACACTTACGCATCTACTCTCTCCCACTTGCGTCGGACCAACACCCCTCTCGGTCGCGAGGGCAAGATTGCTAAACCTCGTCAATTACATAACACGCACTGGGGTATGGTTTGTCCTGCCGAAACGCCAGAAGGGCAGGCCTGTGGTCTCGTCAAGAACCTCGCCCTCATGGCATGTATCTCCGTCGGTTCTTACTCCGCACCCGTCATTGAGTTCTTGGAGGAGTGGGGTCTTGAATCACTGGAGGAGAATGCGCACTCGTCGACGCCTTGTACAAAGGTCTTTGTCAATGGTGTCTGGATGGGTGTGCATCGCGATCCCGCGAATCTCGTAAAGACGATTAAGAAACTTCGTAGGAAGGATGATATCAGTCCTGAAGTCTCCGTTGTTCGCGACATACGTGAGCGGGAGCTGCGGTTATACACAGACGCTGGTCGTGTCTGTCGACCACTGTTCATTGTCGAGAACCAGCAACTCGCCCTTCAAAAGAAGCATATCAAATGGTTGAACCAAGGTTATCGCGATGATGACGGAGAGGAATTTAAGTGGGAGCAGCTAGTAAAGAACGGAATCATTGAGTTGTTGGATGCGGAGGAAGAAGAGACTGTCATGATTTGTATGACTCCAGAGGACCTCGAGAACTCCAGGTTGCAGTCAGCGGGTATCGATCCACACCAGAATGACGGCGATTATGACCCGGCTGCTCGGCTGAAGGCAGGGATCAGCGCGCATACATGGACTCACTGTGAGATCCACCCAAGCATGATTCTGGGTGTCTGCGCCAGTATCATTCCTTTCCCTGATCACAACCAGGTGAGTGGTGTGCTTTTTTTGTCTATGAAAGTTGACCGTTTGTAGTCTCCTCGTAATACCTATCAATCCGCTATGGGTAAACAAGCCATGGGCATCTACCTCACAAATTTCTTAGTTCGTATGGACACCATGGCCAATATCTTGTACTACCCGCAGAAACCTCTCGCCACTACGCGCTCCATGGAGTACCTGAAATTCAGAGAGCTTCCTGCTGGACAAAATGCCATCGTGGCGATTCTCTGTTATAGTGGCTACAATCAAGAAGATTCCGTCATCATGAATCAGAGTTCAATCGATCGAGGTCTCTTCCGGAGTATATACTACCGCAGTTACATGGATCTGGAGAAGAAGAGTGGAGTACAGCAGCTGGAAGAGTTCGAGAAACCTACTCGTGACACTACGTTGCGGATGAAGCACGGCACGTACGACAAAATCGAGGACGATGGTCTAATTGCTCCCGGTACTGGCGTCTCTGGGGAAGATATTATCATTGGGAAAACTGCACCCATTCCCCCTGACAGCGAGGAACTTGGGCAACGTACTCGGACGCACACGAGGCGAGATGTCTCGACTCCATTGAAGAGCACAGAAAATGGTATCGTTGATCAAGTGTTGATCACGACCAATTCGGAGGGCCAGAAGTTCGTCAAAGTTCGTGTTCGGTCGACGCGTATTCCCCAAATTGGCGACAAGTTTGCGTCTCGTCACGGTCAGAAGGGAACTATTGGTATCACTTATCGACAGGAAGACATGCCCTTCACTGCCGAGGGAATTGTTCCTGACATTGTTATCAATCCCCATGCCATCCCCTCACGTATGACCATCGGTCACTTGGTTGAGTGTCTGCTCTCCAAGGTGGCAACGTTGATCGGTAACGAGGGTGACGCAACTCCCTTCACCGATCTCACTGTCGAGTCCGTATCGACCTTCCTACGCCAGAAGGGCTACCAGTCCCGAGGTCTTGAGGTCATGTACCATGGTCACACAGGCAAGAAGCTCCAAGCGCAGGTTTATCTCGGCCCCACGTACTATCAGCGTCTCAAACACATGGTGGACGACAAGATCCATTCGCGCGCGAGAGGTCCCGTGCAGATCTTGACGCGCCAGCCTGTGGAGGGTCGTAGTCGTGATGGTGGTCTCCGTTTCGGAGAGATGGAACGTGATTGTATGATTTCGCATGGTGTTGCTGGTTTCCTGAAGGAGCGTCTATTTGAGGCTAGTGATGCGTACCGTTTGCATGTTTGCGACATGTAAGTTTGGTTCATGTGGCCTTGTTTCGCGGACTCACTTTGAATCTTCAGCTGCGGACTCACTGCAATTGCCAACCTCGTGAGTACCTCCATATTTCATGACCGATGACATCACCTATTAATATCCGTGAAATAGAAAAAACAAAGCTTCGAATGCCGTGCATGCAAAAACAAGACGGCGTGTTCACAGTTGTATATTCCTTATGCTGCCAAACTATTATTCCAGGTTCGCATTCACCCTCAATTGATGGTAGAATTCTGCTAACTTCACGGTCGCCAGGAACTGCAAAGTATGAACATCGCAGCTCGTCTGTATACTGTCTCCACTGGTCGTGTCAGGGATGGAACATGATTAGCTGTTGGCTCATGTATCACGAGAGACACTAGTCTTTACATTGATTGTTGTTTGGACAGAGGTGCCATTTTATGAGCCGTCATCACTGAGTAGAGGGGATTTTATGGGATGAGGCATCTGTATGAAAAGAAGTCACAACAGCAGGTGTCAAACTCGGCAATTCAGAAAAAAACTGAACTTTTACCAAGTTTCAAACCTGCGCAGTGACTAGTAGAGTCCAAGATCAACAGATTTTGATTCGGTTGTTGTACCCACTTAGCTAAGACTAGTTAACATAAATCCGCATGGAATGCATCCATCCATAGTACTTGTCGACCTGAGGTGTGTTCTGATAGAAAAAAACTTAGGTTTCAAATCTACAAGTTTCGGTCCTGTGATGCTTAGTTGTTCAAGACAGATGAGTCTGCAAATCAAATTAGAACATATGTCCAACCGGCTGAGTAGAATCACACAGTAGTAGCAGTCCAAGTCGTTTGCCAACATAAAAGACCAGTT